TTGGCCTTGCTATATTTCCCAATGTTGAGAGGTTTATGCATAAAGCCTTTGATGGATCTCTTGAACAAAAAGAGAGAAGGGTAACCCCTAAAAGAAATTGGAAAAAAAATATGGAGGGTTATGGTCCCCTAAACCCAAAAAAGATCTCTTCGTGATGAGATATTTTCTACTAGTTTTTCACAAAATGTACTTCTAAAAATTGGATTTGATTAATGTTTTATTTTGGGGTTTTGCCATGTTATGTTATTTGAATTATTGTATCCAAATGATTTCTATTTTCCTAGTGATTGATGGACGATGTTGTGAAACATCATTGTTCTTATAGCTGTTGAGTTGTGTTGGTTTTGATATTTTCTCATGAATGTTCTAGTTAAGACGTTTATATAAATTAGATTTTAATGTTTACATTTTTAGTGCTCACATTCTTCAATTTGACATTCGGTTGATGTTGTTAGATTTGGAAGTAAAATAATCTTGTTTGATCTCTTAATCATAATGCACACATATTTTTTCATGCTTTCGTTGGTTTAGGGTTAAGGATATAAAATAATGACAAACTATAAAAAAAATGATGATTTATTGCTTTTATGTTGATTTGATTGTCTAACACTCATGGTTGAATTAATAGTTGATTTGTGTTGGTTTTAAATGCAAATGGTGGTGTTAAGACAAGGGAAGGTGGTTAAGATAAGGGATTGTGAGTGGCCAATTGTCTAAATGTGATGAGAGAGCAAGTGAGACCTAGACATGTGGATGATTCTCTTTTTAAGACAATGCGCAATAGGAGAAACAATAAAAAGTCCTTAATTAAGTGCTTTTAAGGGGCTTAAAGACACCTTTATGCTAATAATGTTCTATTATCATGTGACTCAAAACTTGTTGGACATATTGGTAAAAGAATTAGATGTGATATAATGTAACCATTCCATGTGTTTTATATTTTAATGTTGTATGTAATAAGTTATTTAGTTCTGGGTATTTGTAGATTCAAGTGAATTTGAAGTTGGTGTCCATAGGTGTAAGATTAATAAGCCAAAGGCCCCATACCAACAAATTGAGATTTATTAAGCTATTTGGTTAACTTGTAACTGCTAGTTAAGAGACAATAAATAAAAGTTTATTGTCTGAAATGAACAAGGAAGTAAGTACCTTCCATCTATAATAGTTGAAATCATCATCTCATTGAAAGATGTGTGACATTACTACGCTAGTTTTATATGTATATGAACTTGCATGCAACAACAATGAAGGTTTTGGTAGATGTTGATCATGGGAGACATTTTTAAAGATCAAACAATGTAAAGGTGAACATATGCACCCCGTAAGTGTATGATGACTATTGTGCAATGATTGACATTTCATCTCGAACTTATTTGTTATATCTAGTCGGTTGCGTTATATATGTTGACAAGAGTGTAACCTTTGTTAATTTATCTTACTTGAGTTTGTTTTGTGGTCTTAGGATTTGTGGGGAATATTTTTGAGCAGTAGTTATTTTAATGCATATGTATGAATAATTTGGTGATATTAGCTTTGCAAATACAAAACAACTAGTTGGGTAGGCTACTTTGTTATAGGTGATTCGTTTAATTTATGTGTATTGTTTTCATGTGATAATTATCATGCTATTTTACTTGCACTAACATGTTTTAGTGTATGTGATAATAACAAACATGAATCTACAAACACTTTCCTAGAATTGGGCTAAGAGACATGACCTCAGTTATATTAAGGAGTCCCTGCGATATTTTAGATTTGTGGTTAGCATATTGTTTGCACTTGCAACAATTTAATTCCAACTAGATCATTTGTCCTAACTAAGGTCAAATGAAGTTCATACAATATTATCGAGCAATTTCATCAATTGAGTGCATGTGTTTGCTCTTATGATACCTTTGATTGTAATGTGTCCTTCGATAATATAGCTATGTTACTTATCATCTCATAAAAAGTGTAGGTTGACTTTATAAAGGGAAGAGGGTTGAATAAAGCTTTGATTTTTTTTTTTTTGCAATAAGTTATTAACTAACTGAGGTGTCGTTTGATCATAAGTAAATCAACCAACTCGTGATGTTCCTTATATTGTTAAAAAGACTAGATAGTTACAATATCGTCTAATAGTTTGTTTCGATTAGATGATTTGATAAAATGTTCAGAACTTGTAAAGTTTTTCAAAGTGTTTTCACGAACAATTAAAAATGTACTTTAAAAATATGTATACAAAATTGGAATATGTAAACGAGAAAAAAAAAGAGATAAAAAAAACTTATTTTTTATATTGGTTCACTCAAAGTGAACTATATCGAGTCATCTTATATTTACAATTATAGGGTTCCATTGTGATAAAAAAATTATAAAAATAAGTATTATTTGTTATCACCCTTGACTTATAAATGAGTATAAAAAGTCACTCTTTACCCTTTAACACCTTGCCCCCTTAAGTTAAAATCTAAGTATTCTTTGATATCGATCTTTTTTAGCTCAAATTGAATACATATAGCTTCTCTAAATGTTTTAAACAAATGTTTGATGGATGGTCGAAACACATCATGTCAACTAAAGGATCAAACAATTCTTAACATATAAACATGTAGTAACTAGGAGAAAACTTGTATCATATTCTCCAAGAGCATTAATGACTTATTCTAAACTTAAATTTTCAACAATCAAGAGTTAAGTTTGGGGAATTTTGAATAGTTTTTTAGTCTACTATTTAATAAAAATAGGAGAGATGTAAAATGAACTTAAAAATAATAGTTAACTTCCTAATATTTTTTTACCTTATTGAATGTCATCAAAACAACTCAAAAGATTAATCTATATGAATTCTAATCATTCATACTTCAATTTACTAGATCTAATTAATTAATCACATTCAATTGATTTAGAAACATGATTCAATTTTAAGAAAAATTACCAAAATAAACCTAAAATTAATTAATGATGTAGTTAATCAAATTCAACCAAACCATTTTAATTACAATTGAAGATATTGAATTATGAAGGATTAAAATAATGAAAGAACCAAATATCAATTAATGATACATAATTCTAATTAGAAAACTAACCTTAGATCTAGAAAGTCATAATAAAACTTGAATTGAAATAGAAAGGGTAGAGAACAAATTTGATCAATAAGAACTTGAATTGATGAATTGAATTCAACAACATTGAATTCAAAATTATTTCAATATGTATTGAGAGCTGAAAAACTACGAAGGAATAAGAGAGGAAACTAGAGAACAACTCCAAATATAAGATTATTAAATTAAAAAAATGAAAGATAATTTGTAACTTAAGTTGTACTAAGTCCTATTTATACAATAAAAAATGTGAAAAATCATACAAGACTTGTGCAAGACCCATAAACAGTAATAGACAAACGTAATGTTTAATTTATCAATTTTGTAAGATTGTTGATCTATAACTTCTTGTTGAATGTTATTTGTTTCGTCGAAAGAACCAATTCAGTTGTATTCAGTCCTCCGTGATGGTCAAATGCTATTACAAATTTGGGAGGGAGGGGATTCAGGACATGTAAGTATGAATGCAACAGATGAAGATGATTTAGCTAATCTAAACCTAATTGTTAACACAGGTTTTGATAGGGTTCATCATAGAATTAATTGTTTGAATAAGCAATTTAATGACTTCCAAGATTTTTTTAATAAAACTTATATATTAATTTATGTATTATTACATTCATGTTTATTATTTATTATGTATGATCATGATATTCTCACGTTATACTTTGATATTTGTTTTTATTGATTTTGTATTTTTCTTGTTACGCAATTTTTTTCTATAATTTTATAATTTATTTTATTAACCTTTATTCTTAATCATATACTTAAATTTAAATTAACTTTATAATTAATTTAAAATAATTTTATTAATTTAAATTATAACTTTACTTCATTTAAACAAATTATGTCAACTTTTTTTTCAAAATAAATTCCAACTCATATTTTATTTTATAATAAATTTATATAATTAAATAATAATATATTTTAAATAATATATCATATCTAATTTTAACATTATTTATTTAAATTATATTTTATTATCAAATATTTGTTTAAGTCAAAAAATAAAATTATAATCTAACTATTTTATCAATTAAATCTTAATTCTTTAATATATCAAATTAATTATATTGTTCATAAATTTTCATTTTATTTCATTTTATTTTTAATTTTCCTTTCATCTAAATATCTCTAACTTTCCTTCTCTTTTTCTTGGGCTCATTTTCATTTTTTATATCAATTTTCTAATAAAAAAAATATGAAAGAAAAAATTAAAGGTGATATAAAATTAGCTGGTTATAGAGATCCATAAAAAAAAAAAAAAAACAAAAAAGAAGGAATAAAGTGTGTGCGAAAAGTTGAGTTAAACAAAGGGATTATGATGTGACAGAGAAAACACAAGAACGCAGGGAATAATTAAAGTATTTTTTTTATTTTATTAATAAATTTTGATATAAGTTTCTTTTAAAATTGTAAAATTATTTAATATTTAATTTTTTTAGTTGTAAATATATTTAAGATAAAATATTTACTTTTTTCAAATTAAATAATATATATTTTTTAATTTATTTAATTTTTTATTTTATTAAATTATTTAATTTAATTACATTAACTTTTTATCGTCTTACTCCCGTACATATAGTATAATTCATATCTCTATGATGAAGTTACACGATCTATGCCTGCCGAGTGAACATTGTCCGACTTGGATCATTAAAAAAAATATTTTATTCACTTTTTCAATCAAAACTCGTGTGGATATGTTGAAAAAATAAAAATAAAAAAATATAAGCTTGGCGCCAGTTTCTCAATACCTTCCAGAGTTTAGTTTTCATCCCATAAATACAAAAAGTTGTACATTTTATAGAGGAGCCCTTCACTTCACTTGCATGCAACAGAATTGAAATCAAATAAAAGCTAGGGTTCACAATTTGCTTTCAGGGAAACAGAAAACATAATCTTTTTTATTATGCCATGGGACGTGGGCGCGGCAGGAAGAAGCAGCAGCGAGGGAACGGTTCCGTAGGTGCAAACCTCACTCAACTAGAGATAAAATCTCCCGATTTTGATGCAGAGCGTGAGGCCTATGATGCCAGACCGATCGATTTCGTTGAAAACAATGATGATGTAGCAGAAGTTTCTTTTTCTCCCGGAGAAGGCACGGAAAAAAAGCGCTGCACAGAAACTAAACAGGAGAAAGCGGACACGAATATGAAGGAGAAATTAGAGGGTAATTTGTTGGCAAAGGAAAATGTTCAAGATAAAAGTCCCATGGAGACTGGTGGGGTTTCCGAACGGAGACGCGGTAGAAAAAGAAAGTTGCTTCAGAAAGATGACGATGAGTTTGATGGAAAAAAGAAGACACTTGAGAAAAGTGACGATGAAATTAAAATTCCTACTTCTACTACTGATTCTTCACAAAACGGCATTCAGAAACTTTATCATCTTAGGGGCCCTAGAGTCGATAATAAACAAGAGTTGACGCCGTTGCCAAAAGCCAACAAGAGAAATCCTGATTCGTCATTCATCAAGGTGACGTGATTTATCATTAAAAAAGAAAGATAAATGTTTGTTTGAGTAATTTGGCTTTACATGTGAACATTGAATTTATGGTCATGTTGCTCTATCGCAATCAACAGTGGGTTGAAGAGGAGTCCCGGATGTGTCATCAATGTCAGAGAAATGATAAAGGGACGGTAGTGAGGTGCACACATTGTAAGAGGAAAAGATTTTGCATACCCTGTTTGCAACGTTGGTATAACTTTGCCTCTCTTTTAATATATCATGTTATTATAATTTATCTGTGTCCCCATTCCACTCTGCTTTGCCAGCTACAAATTCTGTGTCCGCATCTTAGCATATTTATTGTTACGGTTTGACAGTGTTTTGGTTATTGCACATACTGCATGTTTTGGTTTGGAATGATGATACTTGACCAGTATTGTCAGTCCTTGATGTTTTTGCCTGTCTTGTTAAGGTATCCTCATTTGAAAGAGGATGATATCGCTCGGAATTGTCCAGTGTGCTGTGGTAATTGCAACTGCAAAGCATGCTTGAAATCCGATGAACTTATTAAAGTTAGTTTTGTCTTCCCCCCTTCTAGCTTGGTTTTTCCTGTGATTTTCTGTATTTTACATTTGAAATATTACCTTGGATTTACTGTAGATTTTGAGGAAAAATAAAAGCACCAATAAAGAAAAGAAGGTTGAACACTCTATGCATTTACTGCAAGTACTTCTTCCATATTTAAGGCAGTTGGATGAAGAACAAATGATCGAAAATGAGATAGAAGCTAAGATACAAGGTTTTTTTTTTTCCCTTCAAGACTCTTGATTTATTAATGTGTGGACAGTGCTTTTTCTGTAAAGAGATGAATTTTATGCTGAAGCAATAGTAGGTTTGATTGGTGCATTTTTGGTCCAATATACATTATGCTGCTATATCCACAGATCACTTTGCAATGGAGTCTGACCTCCAAAAGAAAAAGAAATATTTGATTTATAATCATTGATAAACTTTTTTATTTGAACTGCTGAATGTTTCAATTTGCAATTCATTTTTTCTAGTTATTCCCCCTCTTACTAATGTAGTTTGTTTGACTAATGTTTCCTGGTCTTGGTTCTTTAATGTAGAATTAGTTCTCTCTCTCTCTCAATTTTGGACCACCAATCTACTTTGAACTGTTTTTCTTGTATGCACTGTAGCATCTTAGCTTAAGTTTATATATCATCTCATGTTCCAGTCAGGGTTTAGTACAAGTTCCATATTTTTTTCATTGTGTAATTTGCTTCTGGTATATGTAATACAGGCATCTTTGCATCAGAGCTAAATATAGTACAGGCGGATGTTGAAGTAAATGAGCGTGTGTACTGGTTGGTATTTTATGATTTATTGTTCATTTCCCAGATATTCTCATATTGTCTAGTTGTTAACTTAACTCTCTCTTGTAGTGACAACTGCAAAACATCAATATTTGATTACCACAGAAGCTGTACAAAATGCAATTTCGACCTTTGTCTCATCTGCTGTCGTGAGCTTCGCAATGGGCAGCTTGTAGGTGGTGCAGATCCAATTGAGTGGGAGTTTGTCTTTAAAGGACATGGTTACTTGCATGCTCAAGAAGAAAAGGCTCAAGAAGAAAGAATAAAGGTAGAACAGAATGCATCAAATGTTGATGCTAAGCCTGAGGTTCGTGAATGGTCAAGATCTAGGTGGCATGCAGAAAATAATGGTAGCATTGCTTGTCCAAAAGTTAATGATGAATGTAACCATGGTTTTCTTGAACTGAGAACCATATTAGGCCAAAGTTTCATCACAAATATGGTGCATAGTGCGAATAAACTAGCACGTGCATACAAGCTTCAAGATGCAGTTAAGACCCCTGAAAAGATGTGTTCATGTTTGAGGCATGAGAGGAACACAGATAACAGATATACAAATACGAGAAAGGCTGCTTCTCGGGAAGATTCCAATGACAACTATTTATACTGTTCTAGGGCTGTAGATTTACAAGACAAGGATTTAAGGCATTTTCAGTGGCATTGGGAAAAGGGGGAGCCTGTCATTGTCAGCAATGTGCTTGAATGTACATCTGGTTTAAGCTGGGAACCATTTGTCATGTGGCGTGCATTCCGTCAGATAACTAACACCAAGCATGATTCACATTTGGATGTGAAGGCAATTGATTGCTTAGATTGGTGTGAGGTTTGTTTAATTTCTCATTTGAACTTTCTTCAACTTCACAGATTTTTGCACAAATTGGATTATTCACCTTCATTTTTATGAAGTTTATGTTTAAACTATTTATTTTTGGTGCACTTTTATTGGAACCACTACTTGAATTTCATACATGTTTCTTGAATTTGGTAACTCCACCTTTTTTGCATCGAAAGTTTGCTATATCCATCTATGCATTTAATATTGTCAATTATTAAACCCCGAGTTAACAAAACTTAGAATCTTGGAAATATTTCAGAAAGTACTGAAAAATTAAATTTTTTCCGATGTATGGTTTCATGATAAACTATCTTGAGATGCTGTGCTTTTTAGGTCATGAAAAAGATACAGTCCAAGGTGGTACATAGAATTAGAAGGTTCAAGAAGCTGTAAATATTATGTTTTTAAATGTAAAATACAAAATATAGTTGGGGGATCACACCAAACCCACAATTAATCCCTAATCCTATAGAAAGATAAATGAAATCTATCCGTGAAAAACTAGGGGCAAATAAAACTAAGAACATTATCCCATCATGTGTAACCCTAAGACCTAGTGCCAAAGTCAGCAAGTTTATCAGCACGTTGTTCCTCTTTGTGGAATATATGAAAATCATTTCATTATCACATAGCTCTAGATTTTTCTACATGGCAACAGCTCTAGTTTTTTTCCTAGAGCTTTGGTCCCTTCTTTTTCCAAGGCCTTTACCCCTCTTTCTTCAACTTTTGGAGAGACCTTAGTTGACATTTTTCTTCAACAGTGTGTGCAGCCTTTATTACTGCACATTTTTTTTTTCAACAGAATGTGCAACCTTTATTCTTAGTAATCCTTAATTGCTGCTTTGTCCTAGTGAGTTAGGCTTCACTACTGCCTTTCTTTTTCATTTTTTGTTCAAACAAGATCCTGACCTACATATAATGGAGAAATGTTTGAAGATGCATGGCAAAATTCCATGAAGGTATTGGAGGAATTGTGAAGGTAGAGTAGATCTCAAGCCGATTTCACAGACTGAGCTAAAGCAAAGAACATCCTTTAGTGCAAGGATGCAACTGTTAAGAGATAAAATAATTGAAACACCTATTCGTAACACTTGAAGAACCTTTTGGGACTACTTCTTGCTGGATCCTTTCTTGTTTCGCTTTCATCCAGTGTCTGCATCTTGGGTATACTCACAGCATCTAGCTGATGTTGGGTAAAATGTACTTTTTAGTTTTTCTTTCTATTGTTGAAAATATACTATATCCAACTTGTATGCATTCTCTTTTCCTGCTTTTATAATCGGACTAGAGTAAGGTGCATGACTAATTGTCTACTTTTCTGATGCTTCTGATTTTAAATTTTTTTTTTCTTGAGTTGATTTGATGCAGGGACAAATTAATATCCACCAATTCTTCACTGGGTATAAGGAAGGTCGTGAGGATTCCCTTAGTTGGCCTCAGATATTGAAATTAAAAGATTGGCCCCCTTCTGATTTGTTTGAGGAACGTTTGCCTCGTCATTGTGCTGAGTTCATATCTTCCTTGCCCTTCAAGGAATATACTGATCCTCTCACTGGTGCTTTTAACCTTGCTGTGAAGTTACCTCCTTGTTCTCTAAAACCAGACATGGGGCCAAAGACATATATTGCTTATGGATTTCCTCAGGAGTTTGGGCGTGGTGATTCAGTGACTAAGCTCCATTGTGACATGTCTGATGCAGTATGCTCTATGTCGATATTTCTTTTCTAGCCTAATATTCTCAAGAATTTCTTCTGAATTATATGAACTTTAGGTTGTTATTTTTAAATTAAAAGGGTGCATAGTTTGTAAGGATGCATAAATTGTTGTCTATGATAAGTCATTGTCATTCCCTGTTCTGTTTCTTATGAGCAGATTTGCTTCAATTTCATGTCATAGTTTGAATATTGTGTTCAATGTCAGTGCCTAATCTTCCATTTGGTTCTATATTTGATGGGTTGTTGCGCTGGTTGTTTAATGATTGACTGATTGTTAGAAATACTAATCTTGTTATGATTGGTGGAACCATTATATTAGTATTTTAAGGACTTTGAAATGAATATTCTTTGGATGGGAGAGAGCTGTAATTAGCATATACTTCTGTCACTTGCCTAGCTTTTCCTGATCAAATATTGTCTATGTTTTGTAATTATTGCAGTACGTGGTTAAGTTCTTGAGTTCATTCTCATTAATGAAGAAATTCAAGTATTATGTAACTTTTAATAATTTGGTTATATTAGGTAAACCTGTTGACTCATATTGCTGAAGTGCAATTGACACCAAAGCAACTTACTGCCATTGAGAAGTTGAAGCAAAAACACCTTGAGCAAGACAAGAGGGAGCTATATGGTGATGATCAGGATAGAGAAACTAACGTTAACATGCTTAATAATTCATCTTCTACCATAATTGCTCTGGGTGAGCAAGATGCTTCAGATGGTGCTCTATGGGATATTTTTCGGAGACAGGATACACCTAAATTGCAGGAATATCTGAAGAAGCATTTCAGACAGTTTAGGCATGTTCATTGCTGTCCTTTAAAGCAGGTAAATAAGTATTGAGTACTGATTGTCAATTTGAGTCATTAAGAATGCTTGGTTCCTACAAAATAGTTTTTTTGTTGGATTATATTTGTAACATTTGGAGAATTGCACCCTTATAACATTGGCATTTTCCTTTAGTTTCTCTGATAAATATTTCATTAAATATACTTGGTACAATTTATTTCATGAAGGATCAAGCTGCTAATATATAGAGATTGTTTTTCTCCAGAGGTTGGACTGATCTTTGGATTGAATATGATTCTCAACTTGTTATTCATGGTCGATCCAATACTTCTATTATTCATTGGGATCTTTGTAGTTGATTGTTGACTTGTTTTGAAAATATTGATATTAGTGTATTCATTTTTTGCATATTTTGAGTGTAACCAATGTGCTGATAAACTTGCTAAGTTTGTCACTAGATCTCAGGATTATATTTTTGGTTGGATAATGTTCCTAGCCTCATTTTTCCTGGGTTTTTTATGGACAGATTTGATTTACCCTTTTATAGGGTTACAGGTTAGTGGGTCAGTTTGGTTCCCCCGACTACTGTTTGTATTTTCTTCTTTTTTATGATATTCTGAGGTGTTGCATAAGATTTTTTTTGTTTGTGGAGCCTAGGTAGTTGGGATGATAAACTATATAGTGATGCTTTAGTACTCTCATTTTCATTAGAAAATAATTTTTGTTTCATTAACTTCAAAAGCCACAAAGGTTACTACCACTGGTTATTAAAGCTGAATCACTTATTGGCTCTATAATCTTCACAATATTTCTCGCAGGTCTGGCATGATTAGTATTACCTCCGCTTGCTAGCAACAATCCTTGTTTGTTGCGTAATAAATGTACTTAGTCTATATAAGCGTATATCCATTGTGTATTTAGACACAAGATGTTCAAGGTCTCTATGTTAGCTATTTTAACATAGTTTCCAAAGCCCATCAGAGGCATTTCGAAATCGTGGTTCCTCTAGGGATGCACTATCCTTGAAAATGTATTCTTTGGTGAATTGTGCATATTTTCAATTTGCCTCTCTAATCACCCCCTTTCTCTCAACGATTTTATTTCCTTTTTTCAATGACCCTTTCGACCATTGTTGTTATTGTAATTGTCATTTCTCTGACAACCTGTTAGGTAGAATTTTCTCTACATTTCTCATGGCTTCAAGCAGCACTTCAAACCCATGAATGATCAACAATCACATTTTTTAGAATTTTTCCTTTCTCTTTAAGGAATTGGACAGTTAAAATTTCTCCACTTAGGCTTTTGATATCACCCCATGGATTTTAGATCTAGGATATCAAGATCATCTCAGCATTTCCATTGATTTAGTCCAATTGTTGATCGCTCTTTAAATAGGTTTTACTATGAATTGGTTTGGTTGTGTGCCATTTAATGACACTCAATAATTTTATAGGGGTTTTGTCATGACCTGATGAATCTCATTGCACCTTGATGTTTTCATATCTTTGGTGAGTTCATTTTACTAGATTATTTGGTCACTTGTTATGATTTTTGTCTCTTGCACTTCTTTGAATTCTACCAAAGATTACTAGAAAGGCTCTTTGTTAGGAATCATTTCAGGTATCACAAAGGGAAAAAACACTTTGCAAGTCTATTATAGAAAAATGAAAAGTGTTAGTGAAGAAAGTGTGAGTTGAGAGTTTGTTAGTTGGTTGATGTAATACCTATAAATAGGCCTAACATGTATTTAAACCATACCAATTGGCAATATGTGGAGTAGCCTAACATGTATTTAAACCATACCAAATGATATGAGGTAGGCGATGTGGGACTTCCAATAAGTAGGAAGTATGCTCTTGACATAAATGCACACTCCAATTGATCTAAATGTCAAATAACTACCCAATGAAGGAAAAGCCTTATTGGATCCTAGAAAAGATAGGAGGTTGGTTGGTAAACCAAACTACACTGCTGTAACATGTCTAGATATTTCCTTTCTTGTGAGTGTGGTGAGTCAATTTGTGTACTCTTCTTCCCAAGAACATTGGGATGTGTTAGAAGTAGCTAAATATATGGGCCTAGGTCCATCTCTTTGTTCCATGATATCTACTTATATATACATATACATGTTCATTTGCTGTGCATAATACATATAAGGTTTTATTCAATGTCTCTACTTTAACATGGTTTCTAGCGAGTGTGCAGATCTTGACCATTGATCTTGGGGGGCCAAATAATATATTATTAATAAATAATAAATAAATATAAAATAATATATTATTAATAAATAATAAATAAATATAAAAGGAAGAAAGAAGATGAAAGGGTAAAAGGATAAAATTGTAGATATATATTTAAATATATTAAATGATCATTAAGTTTGAGGGGGACAAAGTCATAAATTACATGAGAGTTACAAAATTGAGGAGGGGCTGAGAGGATAGAATTGTAAATATACAAGTAAATATATTAAATGTTCATTAAGTTTGGGGGGGCCAAAATCATAAATTACATGGGAGTTATAAAACTTTGGGGGGGCCATAGCCCCCCTTAGCTCCCAAGAAGATCCACCTCTGGTTTCTAGAGCCTAACTCACATGCTTACTTCCTGGTGGACCCACCATCCTTTGGTGTCATTTTTATTTTTGGAAATCATGTCTGAAGCCTTATTCAATGTCTCTCTACCATTTACTTAGATATATATGGTATCTAGAGGTTTCTCCTCCTCTCTGATACCTTTTTTCTGGCCTTTTTTTCACCTTTTTTTGCCACTGTTGCCACCGACCACTGTTGTTGTTACAACCATTTAGACCTGCAACCATACCATCGGAGTTGTGCCAACTAGACAACTTTTACACCATCGGAGTTGTGCTAGAGTGATTGGGCAAACCCCCTATTGCCACTCCTGCTCAGGAACTAGAACAATGACAAACCTTTTTGTTGATGGCACTCTACGGGCTTCCAGAAGAGTATTTCTTTGTTTGTGATTAGATTTTGGGGTTCCCAACTGTGCCTATCTTGAATTTTTCTTGGTCTACCCTACTGTCTATGTTGTGCAAGTTATCTCGTGACATACCTCCTTCTGCCATTCCTAGTGACTCCTCTACATCGGTATCTCAACATGATTGTCATTGCACCCACAAACCTGACAAGAGTCATCTAGGTGTGATCATTTCCACAAATTGGGCCATTCAATTGACAATGTTATGCACTAGATGGTTGTCCTCATCGATTTGTTGTTATTGCCCAAGTTGCTCCTTCTCCATTGGCCCATCCAATACTTAAGGATCATTTGCATTCTTCAATGACTTCCTAAAATGGTATGAGGAATGTTAGGCCTCTAGTTCCACTTCTTCTAGTGTACATACAAGTCATTTGTTTACTGGTATCTCTCACTCCACCTCTCTTAACCCCTTGGTACTCTGGTGCTATTGACCATATTTATGGTAATAAGTTTCTTTCCTATTCCTTTTTTGCTTCTAGTATTTTACCATTTGTCACCATGGTTAATGGCTATCGGGCGCTTTTCTCATGATGGTTGGTATTGTTCATCTTCTCCCTTCTCTTTCCATTGACAATGGTATTTGGGTGTCCCTTTAATTTAGTATCCCTTAGTTGTCTCACTCGCTTTCTTGATTGTGTAATCTCATTTATTAAAGATTTTGTTTTCTTATAGGACTGAAGTTTAGATTGAATGATTGGTAACGAATGTGAGTATCATGGCCTTAATTATCTTCGAACCTATGCTCATCGCTCGGTGATGGATTTCCCTCTCATTTGTGACAACCAAGCTACCTTACATTTTGCCTCAAATTCAGTATATCACCAAAGGATTAAATATATTGAGATAGATTTTGTAGTCACGTATTCTTTATTTTATAGGAAACAAAATATTCTATGTACATTCATAATAAATGTAATGAGCTAGTAAAACTCCTTTTTCTATCCAATGTCTTTGTGCTCTTAACACATTTATTTGGTAGTTGTTTTTGGAAGCCTAGAACCATAAGGAACCATAGCTTTTGGTATATTTACTGTGAACTTGTATCTATCATTCCTGTGGGAAATCAAATAGTATTTTAGGAAAGAATAAATTAGGAAATTTATATATTTTCTTGTAATTTGTACAAATTTGAACAATTAGGAACAATCCCATAAATCAAGTATCCTAGAATAAAATAGAGTTATTATATTTCCTAAAATAGCTTAGGTCTCCTGTATATATCTTGTATATCTTTGTATAAAAAATAATAAAATCAGATTTCATTTAATCTAATTTTCCAGATGGTATCAGAGCTTCTAATCTAGGAAGCTTTGTTTGTGCACTATAAACCCTAAGACGACAGTCTGCATTGTTGTTGCATTTTTCTTAACCCTAAGACAATAACCTGTATTACTGCTGCATCGCACCTTCTTGCTATAATGTCAAGGGGTATCATGTTAGAGAGTCCAGCAGTAGAGAACTCAACAATGGTGACTGACCTTAAAGGAGATCAGACTTTGGCCATGGTAGCCGAACAGAAGAAAGGTGATGGTCTTTGGTGTACCTACTGCAATAAGCCTCGTCATACCCGAGAGAAGTGATGGAAGTTATTTCTTTTGGATTAAATGTCTCATATATACCTTTTAACCATTATTGGATATTGGACTCTGGAGTCACAAACCACATGACACCATTAGCCAAACACTTCTCCACATATTCCCCATGTCCCAGCAACAAGAAAATTGTCACAGTAGATGGAACCCTTATAACTTAAGCTGATCAAGGAAATATCCAAATCAATCCTTTAATAACCTTAAAAGATGCTCTCCATGTCCCAAAGCTGTCCACCAACCTAGTCTCTATACAAAAACTTATAAAGGATTTGTCATGTAAAGTTTTTTTCAAAGATCATAGTGTATTTCAGGACAAACATTCGAGGAGGATGATTGGACATGCTAGAGAATGGAATGACCTTTATTATCTTGAAGATCCAAGTCTGTCCAGCAAGAACATAATCTCTCATTCCTTTATATCTGAATTCTTGATGACCAACAGTGAAAAAATCATGCTTTATCATTGTCGGTTAGAACATCCCTCTTTTGGATTGATCAAAATTATGTTTCCTTCTCTGTTTACCAAGTTAGATGTTGAGAGTCTTCATTGTGAGGTGTGTGAACTTGCTAAGCACAAGCGTGTCTCTTTTCCAATAAGTAACAAAATTAGTAATTTTCCTTTTTATCTTGTTCATACTGATGTATGGGGACCTTCTAATGTTCCAAATATGTCTGGTGCTCGATCATTTGTCACCTTTATAGATGATTGTACAAGGGTCACTTGGGTTTTCCTACTTAAACAAAAATCAGAAGTCAGTTCTGTATTCCTAAAATTTCACTCCTTGATAAAAAATCAGTTTGGTGTTAATATTAAGAGGCTTAGGTCAGATAATGCCAAAGATTACTTCAATCATGTCCTTAATTCTTCTTGTGTCAACACCACAGTAGAATGAGGTCACAGTGAGGAAAATGGACATCTATTAAATCAGACTCAGACATTGTTGTTCCAAAAAAGTGTCCCAAAAAATTTCGGGGGGAAGCTATCCTTACAGCAACACACCTTATCAATAGACTACCCTCTAGAGTCTTAGGATCAAAAAGCCCTATGGAAGTTTTGTCGTCTTACTATCCAAACCTGTCCACTGCAAATAATCTTAAACCAAGAGTTTTTGGTTGCATCTCATATGTCCATATTCATAATACAGACAGGGAAAAACTTGATCCTAGAACTTTAAAGTGTGTCTTTGTTGGTTACTCATCCACTCAGAAAGGGTATAAATGCTACCACCCCCCATCCAAAAAAAAAATTGTTTCTAGGGATGTTACCTTCAATGAACAAGAGGGCTATTTCCATCAACCTTATCTTCAGGGGGATAGTTTCAAGGAAGATAAGGAAAGTAGTAATTCTGGTTTTTCCATTCTTCCAGACTTGATATTTGAACCTAAACGAGATCAAATTGAAGTTGTAACAAGTGAAACAAAGTCAAGGAAGTGAAGTTGGTCAAGGAATTGGTCAAGAAAGTGAAATCAATTGTGAAGCTGATCAAGGAGATGTTGAAGCTGGAAAATTTGGTAAGAAGCTGATGTACTCAAGGAAGACTAAAGCCTTTCCAGGATCAAGCCATGTTCCAGAATCCAACTCGACTCCACAAAAAGAGGTAACGATTTTTTTCTCCAGCTGTGCAGGTTGAAATTGAAACCCAAAATGATCCTGACCTCCCAATTGCCATTAGAAAAGGGACAAGAAAATGCACCAAACAGCCACTCTACCCTCTCTCAAATTACCTATCCTTTAAAAATTCCTCTCCTACCCATAAAACCTTCCTAGTAAACCTAAACACTTCACTTCTACCTAATACCCTATCTGAGGCATTGTCTAATAGAAAATGGAGGCAAGCCATGGATGTAGAGATGGAGGCATTGAAGAAGAACAACACCTGGGAGTTAGTCACCTTACCAATAGGAAAGAGGCCAGTTGGATGTAAGTGGGTCTATACAGTGAAATACAAGACTGATGAATCAATTGAGAGATATAAGGCAAGACTAGTTGTCAAAGGGTTCACCCAAACTTATGGAGTTGATTATTTGGAGACCTTTGCTCCGGTTGCCAAAATGAACACAATTAGGGTGATATTGTCCCTTGCTGCCAATTATGGTTGGAACTTGGAACAATTTGATGTTAAGAATGCTTTCCTACATGGAGACCTTGAAGAAGAAATTTATATGGAGATACCTCCGGGATATGGTAGAGATGTTGCTGTCAACACTGTTTGCAAGTTGAAAAAGACATTATATGGGCTAAAACAGTCCCCCCGTGCATGGTTTGGCAGGTTTACTAAAGTTATGACAGGTCTGGGTTACAAACAAAGCCAAAGGGACCATATTTTGTTCTTTAAACATTCCAAGTCAGGGGGAGTAACAATATTATTGGTGTATGTGAATGACATAATATTAACTGGAGATAATAAAGAAGAGCAGCAATTGTTGAGCCAATGCTTAGGCAAGGAATTTGAGATCAAGACCTTGGGAAAACTAAAATATTTTTTGGGAATTGAAATTGTCCACTCCAAGAAAGGGTTATTTATATCCCAGCAGAAATACATCATTGATTTGCTCAAGGAAACTGGCAAGACAGCTTGCAAACCTGCTAGTACCCCATTAGAACCAAACCTAAAGCTTGAAAATGCAGAATAAGATATTGCTATTGAAAAAGATATGTACCAGCGATTAGTGGGCAGACTTATATATTTGTAGCATACCAGGCCAGATATTGCCTATGCAGTGAGTTTAATTAGCCAATTTATGCATAGCCCAAAGGAGACCCATTTACAAGTTGCCCACAAAATTTTACAGTATCTTAAAGGAACTTCAGGAAAAGGGATTCTATTCAAAAGGAATGGTAATGTGAAGCTTGAAGCCTTTACTAATGTTGATTATGCAGGGTCAATTGTGGATAGGAGGTCAACTACAGTATATTGCACCTTTCTAGGAGGAAATCTTGTGACTTGGAGAAGCAAAAAACAGGGTGTAGTGGCTCGGTCCAGTGCTCAAGCGGAATTCTGAGTCATGACACAAGGTATATGTGAGTTGCTATGACTTAAAATCATCTTAAAAGACTTGAGGATAAAATGGGAAGAACCTATGAAGCTTTATTGTGATAATAAGTCAGCAATCAGCATAGCCCACAATCCAGTGCAGCATGATAGAACAAAGTATATTGAAGTAGACAGACACTTCATTAAAGAAAAGCTTGATAGTGGCTTGATATGCACTCCATATGTGTCCTCTCCATACCAAATTGCAGACATTCTTACCAAGGGACTGGGCTGCCACAATTTTAAGAAGATTATATCCAAGCTGGGAATGAAAAACACCTATTCACCAGCTTGAGAGGGAGTGTGGGAAATCAAATAGTATTTTAGGAAAGAATAAATTAGGAAATTTGTATATTTCCTTGTAATCTGTACATATTTGAACAATTAGGAACAATCCCATAAATCAAGGGATCCTAGAGTAAAATAGAGTTATTATATTTCCTAAAATAGTTTAGGTTTCCTGTATATATCTTGTATGATCTCTTTGTATGAAAAATAATAAAATCAGATTTCATTTAATCTTGTTAAGGTTCCAACATAAAATCAATTGGCAATATGTGGATTAGTCTAACATGTATTTAAATCATACCAAATGACATGAGGTAGGCAATGTGGGACTTTCAAACACACCCCCTCCAACGAAGCCTGCCGGACCAGGCAAAGGGTACTTTTGACCCAACTAAAGGGTAACTTTTGGCCCATAACAATAACCGGAAGGATGTTAGGCTTTGACTCTGATACCATGTTAAGGTTCCAACATAAAATCAATTGGCAATATGTGAACATGTATTTAAATCATACCAAATGACATGAGGTAGGCGATGTGGGACTTTCAACAAATCTAATTTTCCAGACCATTGGCAGTTGTAGCTTAAGCTTGCTAAGCTTCGGATCGTAATAATTTTCCTCATTTCATTTAATGTTTTCTTTTGATCCATTTCTAGACTTGTTATCATTATTAGCTGTGGTGTGTCCAAGACTGCTGCCAACACCTTTTCCCACTTCAGTTAAAAGCATAGTCTGAGGAAAGGCAAGAATAACATGAAAGCTAGGATCATTAAGAGGAGCAGACTGTGTTTGGTTTTCAGTTGTACTTCATGGAGTGGTAGAATGCTCCAACCGCTTCCTGGGTTGAGTATGATTCACCACCTACTTGCGATTGCAGTTAAAATGTTTCTTTACTTCAAACTCTCTTCAAAAGCTTCAACTACATGTAGAACATAATCTAGATTTTCTGATGGCTCCCAAGTGTTGGTTACCTCAGGCTATCCATGCCATTTGATAAAGTATTGCACGTGACCCTTGAACACCCTCTGTATAGCTTGAACATCATAGAAATTCAGTTGTTGCCTTGTCCAAATCCTCTATATTCAAGAATTAGTTTGTCAAATTAATATGTTTTATGCATTTGGCTTTCGCAATTTTGAAGTTTTGATTTATATAAAAGACCAATTAGTATGAGAGTTTATCACTCATTAGGCTTTATATTTTCTTGAATGGGCCCCATATACTTGGTAATGTAGGTTATTCACCCCATCCATGACCAGACCTTCTATCTGAATATGGATCACAAGAGGAATCTTAAGGAGGAGTATGGTTAGTAACACAATTTTCATATTTGATTGGGGGGAGGGGTTCAAATTGTGTTTTATATCAGTAGTTCTTAATTTTCTTGTAGGAATTGAGCCCTGGACTTTTACTCAAAAGGTAGGAGATGCCGTTTTCATTCCAGCTGGTTGTCCTCACCAAGTCAGAAATCTGAAGGTAAAAAAAGTACTTCTGAATTAATTTCATATTTATTGTAGGTGTGTATCCTACACTTCTGGCAAAAATGTTGATTCATCTAAATTTCTGGCATGTGGAGTTTTTTATATATTAAATCTAATTTATTTTCTTTTATTCATATGTTGGCAGTCATGTACTAAGGTTGCACTGGATTTCGTTTCTCCTGAAAATGTTGGGGAGTGCTTTCGTTTGACAGAAGAGTTTCGCACGCTTCCAATAAATCACAGATCTTCCGAGGACAAATTGGAGGTATACCAGACTTTTATCATTTATTTGATTGTCATTTATTTGTTTCTCCATTGTTTTGTCATATTTTCGCGCGCGCACACATATATATATATATATATATATATATATATATATATATATATATATATTCAGTACTGTCCAAGTCGGTCATGTGTGTTATACATGCACCAACTTCACGGGAAGAGTGATCCGTAGGCTGTAAATATTATGTTTCCTAATCACTGTAAATTTTGTGTTCTAATTTAATGAGAAATTTGGCAAATTAGAATCGATGTATATTATATTTCAATGATGGTATAAAATATTTCGCAGAAAAGGAATGTGTGTACAAATGCCCTTGTGGTATATGGAATAAAATTTAAGACGACCAGTTTCAGTTTGGCTCTAATACTGACTGAATTTAATTTTTTATCCAGGTTAACACGTATTTGAAGCCTTGATTTATAACCTTTCCCCATTTTGACTGGTTTTGTCTAACCTTGCTAGTATGTAGTTTTCCTTTCACCACACTGAATGTGTTAATTGGAGAATATTTACATTTCAAAAGTAGGTGAGTGCATAAGTCAAAAGAACTTGGTCAATGCAGATGTGTGTGGTTTCTGCTTATTTAGGTGTTAGTTTATTGAAATGCAGGAAGAGCTAATCTTGGTAATCTGCAAACTGTTTATTGTCATGTCAACAGTTTCTTCCTGTGATTCTATATAACTTTTCACCTTGATTGCTTCTTGTTGAAACAGGTGAAGAAGATGACAATATATGCCATGAAAGATGCAATCAAAATATTGATGAACGCAAGGTTAGTAATTGCAAACTTAAGGCCCTTTGACAATGAACTGTGATGCTTGCTTTTTTAATTTGCTGTGAGAAAAATTGTTAGATTATGTGTTATTTACTGTGCTCATTCTGATTATGTTTATTAAGCACTTGATTCAATTATATTATCATTTGTGAAGTTGATGATTGTTGTTCCATTTACAGGTCCAGGGAAACCAAGACTCCAAAACAAAGCCAATTGGAAGTATAAATTCAGTCATAAGCTTATACAGTATTATGATGTTGCGTTCAGTTCCGCAACCACACCTGGAAGGGTTATGTTTTCTGGAAATATCATATGCCACTTGAAAGCTGGATATACGATATCTTCTTAGCTTCAGAATGTTTATAGATGACGTAATTCTTAAGTTGCTCGTTATATCCTCTGTTTTTGCCTCGAGCAGTTATCCATGTCTTTTAAATAGGTGTAAATAACATGGGTTGAATTATATTTAGTGTAATTTTCACCTCAATTAATTAAATTTTATTCGGTTATGTTCAATTTATTATTTATTATTTATTGATTTATTTCAATTATTATTGAGTCAGATTATCAAGGAGATTAATTTAAAAATAATAATACTATACTTTTAATTCTTAACAAGAAAACTATCTCAAAATCAATATTTTTAGTATTTCTTAATTTTTATACGGTAGCTTTTCTGCTTGAAATATAATAGTTCATAAAATAGTTAGATATGAAGTTAATAATAATAATAATTTAGTTTATAAAAATGAAATACTGTTTAACAGATGATAAGTAAAAAAGATGCACTTAAAATATTAATTCAATAACATTTATATAACCAATTGTAAATAATATCTTGTGTATTTTTATTATATCTTTATTATATAATTGGATTATATTGAGTTTATCTAATCTGAATATTAGGGTTTTTTAAGTTGATATGATTCTAATTGGGTATCCTAATCATTATTTGTTGGCTCTTTTTTGCTGCATCTTCGTAACTTTTTTGCCTATATCCCCGTAAGTTAAATGAATATTCTTTTACTTTTATATTATATCATTGGTTTCAATTATTGTATTACATTTATTTTTTCTTTACTTTTCCCTCTACTTCTCTCGTTAGATGTATTACATTGTCTCCATAGTTTTCCCCTATTGTTTGAATTCACTGCATCACTTCTATTACTTCGTTCAGGTCGAGCAAATTTGTGGAATTTTGTGGTGGTTCGAGGTAAGATTCAAACAAGGTTTACTTATCATCGAGTTATCGGGCAAGGTATATTTTGACAGGTCAACTCATAAAGGAATAATTTAGGATTGTGTTATTAGCGAAAATTTCAAAATGTGTTATTTGGGAAAGTTTTAGGTAATTTTTACGGATCATGTTATTTGGGGAATTTTGGGTTGGGTAATTAATCCACACATATGTTATTAATATTTTTATTAATATAATTAATATATTTAATTATAAATTATTAACATAGTTTTAATAAAAAATAAATAAATATTTATATATCTAATTTATTTTTATTTTTTATTTTTTAACTAGTTATTTATTTATTTTTATAAGAATAATAAATTAAAAAATATAAAGATTTATTCTAAATAATTCATTGAACGAATTATTATAAGAGAATTTATTGAAGTTTTTCAATTTCGTTAAGTAAACAGGGATTTCACTAGTGAGAATCATAATTTAATTATCTAATTTTATTGTTGATTTTGTTGAGTGAAACGAGTAGCTACTAAATGACAAAAATGTAATATTCATATAAATTATATATTTTTTAAAAATTAGGTTGAAATTTTTAAATATATAAAATTACTTTTTTCTCATTTTATTAGTATATATGGTTGAAAATTTTAAATGGCACAAAACTAAAAATTGTTGAAAAATATGGATGAAATTTTATATGTACATAAATTTTTAGTATTATCCATTACTACAAAATATATATATATGTCAAGTTGGTTAAAAAAGACATTCTCATAGGTTATTGAACTGATGTAGAAGTAGGCATTGTATTTTATTTTATTTTTACATTGCTTATAATATAACCGATATACTTGTAACAAACCAAAATCCCTCATCATCAAGCAACAATGAAGTCTCCCTAGTTAAACAACACCAAATCGTAAATCTTGTGGCACCATCAAGTAACAACCCATCAAATTAAAACACACACACACACACACACACACAAAATACAAAATTCAATCCTACACTTCAATAACCTTTTACAAATTGTCATAAGGTGGATTGCAAGAATGGGTAATTACAATAAAGTAAAGTACGGAAAAAGAAGAATAATCGTGAGGAATGGTGTTGTAAAAGAAGGTAGCTAGGAGAGTGTTCATGGTAGTGTCAGTACTACGAGAAAAGAAGAAAGAATAATAAAAAAAGAGAATATGAAAAAAAGTAAAATGATAAGACACGTTGGATTTACATCTTAAGAAATAACATATATTATATAAGTTACTACTAGAATCAACGTAGTATATAACATATTACATTATTTATTAATTGAACTGATATAATATATACATATTACAATGATTTTAATAATAATTGATAATGTATATATTACATTAATTTTAATAATAATGGACGTAACATGTGTGAATTTAATTATGAACTTTTGGTATATTTATTTTTAATTTTTTTTAAATTAATATTATTTACATGTACAAAATCGTTTTTTTATGTAGCGATCCTCTTGAATCAGTAGAAAAAAAAGTTGCTCTATGTCAATTTTTTTTTTAAATCAAGACATGTATTCTCTTAATTTTAGAGAATGTTTTATTTGTTTAGAACCGTTTAAATTAAAACTTAAGTGATACAAAGTTGAAAGTTTAATCCAAACTTAAAATTAATAGAGTTTAATCTAAAGTTGACTGATTTATTTTTAATTTGACTAAAAATATCACAGTTATATATTTTACTCAAATTAACGTTTTCTAATTTAACTCAGTCAACGCCGTGTCAAAAACTAAATAAAATAAATCTAATATTTTAAATAAAATGTTGTTTTTATTTTGGAAAAAAACATTTTAGGTCAACCACCACCGCCCACCAACGGACATATGATCATAAAAGGAATCTAAAAATAATAATAAAAAAAAGAAAAAAGAAAAAGAAAAAAAGAAACATATTATTTTTTTAGATTTTCTTTTCCGAATCCAAAAATTATTTCTATGATTCGGTGAAAAGCGAAACGTCGTCGAAAATAGTAATAGTTGATATAATAGGTCCTATTACTACTACGGTCGCGTTACTTGAGTTTCTCTCAATCTCTCAATCTTGCGTTCTTTGTCTGAATCGCTTAGAGATCAACCTCAAAACAACAATGTCTAGTACATCCCAATCTCGTTTTGTGAACCGAATAATGTTCTGTTCTCATCCACCATGTTTACGATTATTGTTTGCTTCTCCTCCCAAGTCTATTGGTGTTAAGGTTCGGGAAATCACACCCGCTGGTAGCAAAGTGCCCAAGATTGTGCTCGAGTTTTCTAATCTGCCGGAAGAGGAATCAGAGCGACTAAAGAAGCTTCTGAATTCTATTGACAAAGTTGAGGAACAGGTGCTTCAACAGTTGCAAATACTGGAGAACACCGCCAGTGCCAAGGAGGCAGAAAGGGAAAATCGAGTACGTACTTTGATGTCCATGAGGTGATCAAGATTCAATTTTGCATGCCCCTTTCTTCCTTCTACTTGAAGCTCCACATACACGTTCTTGCATGCATTCTAGATAAGTCCTCTTTTGTTTTTTGTCATTCTTCTTTGATGGTTTTGGAATGAGTATTATGCCTTATGATTTCTCGTGTTACGGGTATCGTTGTTATTTTCGGCCACTCATTCGTCATAGATGTTCATACATTTGTAGGTTATTAATGTAATATTGCAGACAACATGCACGCCCTCTTCTCATTTCTATCACTTTTTTATGGTTTTCGATATTTTACTCGAATTTTACCATTCTTAGGTTATGAATACTATATGTATCCTTAAGATGTCCATACTTGTTCTCTTTGTTATTGATTTTAAATGGGAATTATCATGTATGAGACATTATTCTAGTTCCATCAATACTTGTTGACTTTTCAAGTTTACAGAACAAGTATGGATGAGAAGCTTGATAGAGAGAGTTATGGATTTGAATTAGCCTTGTTTAAAAATTTGAAAGCTCTTTAATCTGATGTTTTGGTTTTGGTGGTTTCTTTTTATTCTATTTTTCTCACGAAGTGCAACTTTTTATGGAGTTTCTAGAGAATCCATGTAGTTATCATGACACCGAGAGGAAAAACATTTGCTTCTCCTTGCCACAGTTTGTCATAGCGTTGAATTGAATGACTGGACACAGTTTATTATATGCCTAAAAGAAAAGTGATACTCATACTTTGTAATTCACCATTCTAAACGGTCTTGATCATTTCTTCAATTTACAAATGATCAGTTGTGTGCTTTTGCTTTATTAAACAGTTGAGTTCATCCATGCAGGCAGAGGGGATTTTCAGAACTCATGCATACATTAGTCAAGAGGAGTAGGTTAGGGATCAAATATGTTTGGTAGGACTAATTTAGGTATAACATGAAAAGAAGCATGGTACATGCAAAGAAATAACTTGATTGCTGCTTAGGTAGCATACACAGAAACCCTCTCCAGTTCATGTTGATTAATCTTGCTGCCAGGTGGTCATATATATGGAGAATTCCCTCTTCCCAGGCTGATTCTCCAACTCAAGGATCTATGGCACATTGGCACCGCTCCTTTACAAATGGCTCCCCAACCTTCAAAGGACAATTGTCACAGAGTGCAAACTATTTGTCTTCTTTGTCATTTATGACATTACTTATATTGTGGGTTGCACAGGTGACCTTGTACCTAATCATACAGGATTTGCTGTGAAATATGTAACCCTGCGACCCATTCCTCAGGTGTGTATACATACTTCAACATGATTTGCATATTTCTATTGACCTATATACATTTGAATATAATTTGTAACCACGTAAACACTATCTGTTTACTTGGATTATTGAAATAGAGCATTATTAGTCTTGGTACATCCAAGAAAGAGAGCAAATTTCTTCACATTTTGGTGTCAGGAGTAAATTTCCGCTTCATTCATATATTTTTTGTTTTAAATTTACAGAGAACTAAATCAATGTTGCGTGATGTTTGGTGGGAGATTGTGAGTACGTTTCTTGGTTATCTGTAATTATGTATGCTGAATGCACTGAATTTCTGTTTGCTTCTCATTCAAACAGGTTTTCTCATTTTTAGTTTCTGTTTTTATGTAAATGTGGGCGCTGAGCAACTTTATTCGAGTTGTGTAATTGGCTTTGTGGAAGGTGAAAGAAGCAAGTGTGTATCAATGAAGTCTTGAATAAACAAGCATATTTCACACTCCATATCAGTGGCTTAATTGCAAACATGGATGGTGGCTGCAAAAAGTGGTTCCTGGGATATCAAGCAGTGGGAAGATATTTAGAGATGCAGAGGTTCAGCTGTTGGAAATCCCTATATATGCCGCTGAAGTTTTGGGGTTATCTAGCCATGGAAATCCCTCTCTCTAATGGATGGACTAAGCCATGGATTGAATACGACTCACATCAACCGAGCTTTTCATAATAATTGTAATTTGGTTCCATTTTAGTAGTAGTTTGATTACATTGCAAATTAAACATAGAGATGAAAAGAGTAGTTAAGATACATTTTATGTTTTAGTTGTACTCTTCCTTTTGAACTTCCTTATCAAATTTTGTACGTTATCATCCTACATTTATTTCATTTTTTCACAAAGCTAATTACAGGAAATATGTGTAATTTCTCAGATAACTTCTTCCTTCAACCCTCTTCTCCAAACAAATCATTTTGCTCCTTCAACTCTCTGTTATTGACCATTTTGTCGTACGCTCACTTTTTGCATTTTTATTTTATTATCAATATTCCACTTCCATATTTTTATTATTATCACGGAACAACAAAAATATTGCAAAGTTTTTTTCTTTAATTTTTAATTTTTTTTAGTTTCATTATGTAACATAAAAATTATAATTTTTTATTTTTTTCTTCTTGTTTTTTTCAATGAGACATGGATTATCTAAAACTAAAAAATAGAAATTAAAAATAAAGAAAACATTTTACAATTTTTTTCTTAAAACGAAAAATTAAAATAAGTAAATTTATTTTTATTTTATTTGTTTATTATTATAACAATTAGTATGAGAATTATTTATTATTAATTAGTTAATTATTTTAATATTTATGATATTCTATTTTAATGTTAAAATATATAAAAATAAAGTAATTAAATTAAATTTTAAAAATATCTAAGAAAATAATTATAAATCCTGTTTTTTAAATAAAAAATAATAAAAATATAAATTTTAAACAATAAAATAAACTCTAATTTAGCAAATTTAAATATAAAAAAAGATTAGTTAAACAATTTATAATCTAAATTAAATATAATAATTAATTATTTTATAATATAAAATATCATTTGACATAATTAAAATATATTTAATATTATATATTTATTTTACACCGATAATAAATATATTTTAAATCATTTATATTTTTTAATAATTGTATATAATATATTTATTTTCTAGGAATAGAAATAAGAATTTTAAAACATGAAACAAACCAATCCAAAATTCTTAAAAATAAACCACTGCAATAATATTTTAAAAGTTACTGATAAAATGAGAATCGATCAAGAAGATGATTACTTGACAATTCATACATTTAAAATAAAATAAAATAATAAACTATTATATAATATTATTATATTAATATAACGGGATGTAGGACGAATGATTCTTGGTAATCATTTCTCAAATTGAAAGAAGCTTTCTTCTCTTCGATATTCAAATAATGATTCGCTGTGGAAAGATTTTACGTGGACTTGCTTCTTCTCATAACTTCCATAAACCTGAGAAATGGTGGAAGGAATGATCATGGTTTATTTACATTACACATTGTGAAGGCAAACAGAAGCCATAATCATGTCACCTAACCCAAATTTCCTTCGTTTTCCTCACTCCAACATTGACTTATCCCACGTTCCCAAATGGAACACATTCGTCCCCTACATCTCTACCAAACCCCAAACCCACTCTTCCCTCACCCAACCGGGTCGCTTCCAACCATTCCGCGTCATCGCCCCTAAAGCTCGGTGCCAGCTCCGTCCCCTGTTCGCGAAACGGGTGGGGGTTTTGGCATCAATTCTACCCGGAGGACGCTGGTGGGCCTTGCCGGAGCTCCGAGAAGACGGCTCGGAGCCAACGGCAGCGGTAATCGCTCTGAGGCGAATGTGGGAGTTGGTCGCCGATGAGCGACGGGTCGCGTTTGTGGCGGTTGGGTCCCTTGTAATTGCTGCTGTGAGTGTGAATTGCAATATTTACTTTCTAATCCTTGAGAGTTTGTTTGAAAAGCTTATTAGTAAATTTTAATTATTTTTAATTTAGAAATAATTATAGAGAATTTTATCCGATAATATCTTAATTATTATTTGCAAACTGCGCAAAAAACAAAGAAACTTTTTTTTTTTAAAGCATGCCTAGTGTAACATTCAACATTAGTGGCGTTTATAACTTGAAATAATATTCCTTTAGTTCTTACTGTTATATGTAGACTCGTTCTCAGGGGTGTTAACGAGTTGAAAACTTTGATGGTACTGTGAACTTTTTAACCAGATAATCAATTTTATGGAACAAAAGCAATACGAGTTATATTTAATGCTATTTGTTTCTTTTATAGAAGTCTGGTTGGTTAAATTTGGATAACAATTCTTATTCTGCTTAACAATGCTGTCTGTGAAATGTTATGTATTTCATGAGTTTAATATTCAATGCACTGTCTAAAATAATTTATACTGTGAAGTGTCAACCAATTAGAATAATTAGTCTTAAGTCAATGAATTTATCATACAAAATACCTTTACATTCTCCATGTATTCTAATTAAATTCATATTCCTTTGAGTTTCAATGTTTTGCCCCCTTTTTGTTTCAATGGAATTCTAAAGTCAAGTGCGTGGAATAACTTACTGTATCATTGATCATATGTTGTCATTCATTTCATGAAAGAGTTTGACCGTGACATTATGAACTACCTAAAAGTTAAATCTTATTGTTTCATTGCATGATTGAGAGATAGATAGGCCCCCAAAATTAAACTCTACGGCTTGGTTATTTGTTATATAATTGTATTTTATTTTTGTTGCAAAGAAAATCTAAGACCTAATTACAACAAATATCCTAGAAACAGCCTTTATTATCTAAGATCTTAGTGCACTTGGTTTCTATTTCTTTTAAGATCTAAGAGTTCATGCAAGGGGGAAGTGTAGGGTAAAGTTCATGCACAGTTGTCTAGATGATATGTGATGTCATCATATCAGGATCAAGTAAGCTGTCTGCTTTCCCCAGAAAGACTCAGTAGTACCATTTGAGTTATGTTACTTGTAGTTTATTAAGTTTTATTTTATTAAGAGATGGTTAAGGCACTACTGCAGCACTGTAGCTTCATAATTTTTATAATTGTACCCTACTCTATGTTGATTCTCATTATTTTTTCTGCTCCTGCAGCTTTCAGAAATCTCCATGCCAAGTATATTGGCAGCATCAATATTTTCAGCACAGAGTGGTGAGACTGTGGCATTCTCTAGAAATGCACTGTTTTTGCTTCTTCTTTGTTTAACTTCAGGGACATGCAGGTGATTCTTATCGAGCTTAGTTTCTGTGGAACCTATCATTTTTCACTCTTCCCCATATCTCTCTACAATGATTAGTATACTGGTTATCAAAGGTGCTATAGTACCGACTTATGCACCCTAAAATAATTAGGGAACATGTCCTCAGTAACCAGGGCGGCTTCTTATAGTAAAATAGGAGGCTACTGATATCTGAACTTTGAAAAGACATGACCTAATTGTTATAGAACATAAAACCTTCTGTAAAGTGCCTGATGTATTTTGAATATGTTTCTTCTATCACTGTCCAAACATGGAACGTTTTGACTCAAGTTATTGCCTTGTCTTGATATGAGCTATTTGTTGTATGTTTTAGTATTAAGACTGAGTGGGCCATAATTTTGTTCTCCCATTTGAATTTCAGTGGCCTACGGAGCGGCTGCTTTGGAATTTTGAATGTAACCTTGGTAAGTCTTTCTTGATCTCAACTCTTTCTCAAATCTCCATTAACTTTTCGGATGGATCAACTTTCATATGCAGGACATTTTTCTTTACTCGTCCATCATGCCTCTACTATTGTTATGAATCATTGTGAATTTTGTGCAAGATAATACAGTCAGTGTAGCCAATCAAGGGACATTCTCAGGCCAATGTTTGATGACAGTAGAACTTCAATTTTCTATGAATCATTAGTAAAACTTCAATTTTCTACTTTGACTGAATCATTTATTCCATGCATATAACTGCTTGGAATACCCTCTTCTCCTTGTTCTTATTGCTGTTGTAGAACTTTTTCCCCACTCCAATGTTATTTTTTTCTTTAAGTGTCGTTGATGTCTAAGATTGAGAGCACAGGTCACCATCCAATGTTCCATGCATTATTTTTCAGGTGAAGCGTCTAAGAGAAAATTTATATACAGCCATTCTTTTCCAGGTATGCATTTTACTAATTGAAAATATACAGAACTAAATGGGTGTTCCTTAGAAGTTTTTTGGTTATTTATTTTTGTTGTTTTTCTGTTTCTTTCTTTCCCCCTGGTTAACCTATGGCCTATGTCTGTTGTTATCTGTGATGTAGGATGTCTCCTATTTTGATAAAGAAAGAGTTGGTGACTTGACAAGCAGGCTTGCAGCAGATTGTCAACGACTATCCCATGTAGTAGGAAATGATCTTCAGCTGATATTACGCAACACTTGTCAGGTCTCAATTCTTACATCACATTTTAATCTGTTATTTTAATTTGATGAGTTTATCTTTCCCTCTGGTATTATCTGTTATTTTATTTTATATCTAGGGAGCTGGAGCAATACTTAATTTGATGGCTTTATCTTGGCCTTTAGCTTTATCTGCCTTGGTGATATGTTCTATTTTATCTGCAATTTTCCTGGTTTATGGCCAGTAAGCATCGGTGACATCTTCTCCTTTATGTTAAACGTGCAGCTTTACTTCATTACTTTCTTTTGTCTTTCGGTTCTATTGTTTTGTATAAGAAGATCTCCCCAACTTCCTATCTGTTTGTATTCATTTCCTTTTATATGATTTTTATTTTGTATCCAAAAACACATTTTGAGCTTTATTAAATTTCTCTTAAGCCTCAAGTTTCTTATTTGATTATATTTATTTTTACAGAGATACATTTACATCATAATCATAATTGTACTAGTTAAATACATTCTGATCCATAATTTGATTTTGTTATCCTTTGCTGTGATTGGCATACTAGTTGTTCTTTTAGTGATTACAATGTATATTCTTTAGTTATTGTTTGCTTAATGAATTGATATAAATTTAGAAGTACAATTTTACTGCTTAATCTTCTAGTGAAGTGAAGTTAAGCTTACTAAATTGATGCTGACATAGACACATCATCATGTTTGTCTCAGCTAGCTTTTTTGGTTATTTATTTCATTCTACTTCTGTCTTGTCTTAATTTTGTAAAGGATATTTTGGCAAAAAACTTTATGTAGTTTTAAGGTTTTCTATAAATGTGCTTAAATGTTTACAAATTTAAATTAATCATAGATATTCACTTCTGGTTTTATTTACACCTTTGGATTGCTGATTGTTTGAAGCATTTATTTGTTGTTCTAATAGGTATCAAAGAAAGGCAGCAAAGCTAATCCAAGATTTCACAGCTTGTGCAAATGACGTATACACTTTATACTGGTAGATATTGTTTCTGAAAAAGTGACCACAATCCTATTCTAATTAATACTTTTTCTATGCAGGTTGCTCAGGAGACACTATATTCAATAAGAACTGTCCGTGCTTATGGAACAGAAAAAAGAGAATTTGAAAGGTACTTTATTCTGTTTATACTGTTACTGAATTTTTTCGCTGAAAATCTATATTTTAGCTACTATTGGAACATTTCATAATATAAAATATTATATCTAAGAATATTTGTGTATCTAGAAATTACCTCTCAAGACTAGTTTCCCTAATTCTTTCAATTTCACGTTTTCTAATATTTTATGATTTGCTTCTATATTTAGTTTGGATTCTTAATATAAATAGGAGTGCTTTAGATTTCATCATATTACATAATGTAATGCATAACAGTACAAAAGTAAATACTATTCAAAGCCTCTTAATTCTATCTTTCCCTCTACACCTAAAACCACGTAATTAGAACAGTAACTTTAGTGGCATGGTAAAATTCGTACCATACTGACAATTTTAATTGGTATTAGATAGGAACCTACCCATTTATGCCAAGTTCAAGGCTCCTACACTCTACCACACTTCAATTCATGTTCTTCGGAACCACCAAATTAAAAAAATTGCAGGTCAGAACTGCAAGAAAGCCATACTGATTCAATTACATTGTTATAGAAGACTTGCCTGAAGAAGAATTGATATGAGAATTCTTTCCATTTTCTTAGGCTATTTATTTTTATATCAAGAATGATTGACTCTTTCAGGTAGCACAATATAAAAGTGTTAAATTACTGACCATGAGACATTTTAGAAAACTTTAACTGATAGGAAATATGACCCCTCCACATATGAATGCCAAATGAGGCAAGCTTATCATAATCGACAATTACCACAATGAGATATAATCTCCCATATCAAGTCAAATTTCATCAATTAGCAATAAGAAAAGTTATCAACATATACATATAAGTCATACTTCATGAATTGATATAAGCAACGGGCGACTTCCCAACACGCCCCCTCCACATATGTCTGCCATCTACCAGAATAGACAATTATCAAAATGACTTTGATCCCCTGTGTGTGATACTATGCTAGATTGTATACGTAAGTGTATCATACATTCTTTTGTAAATGTTTATATCTGTTCCTACAATACTGATATCCATATTACCTGCTCTATATGTATTTAGGTACAGGCAATGGCTGCAGACCTTAGCATTTATAAATGTTCGAGAGAATGTGGCTTCTGGGTTTTGGAACCTGATATTTAACACCTTATACCGTTCTACTCAGGTTTGGTTTATTTAACCTTATTAAAAGATACAAAGTAATTGAATGCTGCAATTCCTTCATGCTACATATTAGAGAAGAAAAAAAAGGAAAGAGACCAGTTATTTGACAGGCCAGTACAAGGCATGAGGCCTTGGGAAGCTTATGCCAGAAGGGAAAAAAAGTTTATGCCTAGGTTAGAGGGGCAGTTTTGTTTTTGGACGACAGTTAAGTTCAGTTGGGTGTTTACGTGTGGTCATTACTGTTTAGTTAGTTTTATGTGTTTTGGTTATATATGCACTGCTACCAGTTACGGTGTAGGGATAATGGATACACAAGTTTGGATGTATGTTTGGGAGACAGAATTGTAGGCTTATGTTTTGTGGGTTTGATCTCTTATTCTGGTTCTGTCCAAAATTGATATCATTAAAACTGTTCTATTTGTGTGCAATCTCAAGTCTTACATTTTCCTTTACCTCTGTCTACTTATCTCTTATTCTGCAAATTTTATTAGAATGAGCAACAACAGCCTTATTCCACTAGGTGAGTTCAATGACATGGATCACACTTTTTTTAAGAATCAACAACAGTCTCTATCTCACGAGTTAAATGTTTCTGTTTTATTCATCCTTTTAGAATAGAAGACATCCATTCTAAATACCAAATTCTTGCAATAGTTTTACAGCTACATCAGATGGGTTTTAGAGTTTCATGTTGATCTTGAGTATTTTATAGAAGATTTCTGAACTTAGGCTTTTCATAAACTGAACAATATTTGCTATTTTTTATGTTTTTCCCATTTTTCAAGGGATACTTTATGATAGGAAGTTATTAAATTAATATTGTTTTTTAAATTCAACCTGCAGATATTTGCAGTGTTGTTGGTAGGTATGTCCGTTCTCAGATGTCGTGTAACTGTGGAACAACTTACCAAGTATGTACTATACTGTGAGTGGTTGATTTATGCAACTTGGAGGGTGACAAACAGCTTAACATCATTACTGCAGTCCATTGGAGCATCTGAACAAATATTCCAATTGATGAATCTTTTGCCCAGTGATCAATTCATAGCCAAAGGCAAGTAACCATTAGTTTAATGTGTTGTTCTCAAGTGGGTATTTATAAGAAAAAAAAATCACACCTTGAGTATTATAAAGAAGGCAAAGGTATTAAACTACTCTAAATAGGGGGAGTTGATTTAGGTATTTTTCACCATAACTCAATAAGTTTCTTGGGTGTATTAGGGACAAAGGTAGTTATGTGTCTCGAAAGGGTTTGCAATTTTCTCCTTCAAAAACTTGCATATTGAGTGTTCATGGATGTAAGCCTTGAGGTACTGAACCTTGTTAAATTTTATGTATGTTTTTATTTGCTTTTTATGTGGATGTGTTTTTGCAAGGATATATTATTTCTTGTTATTTGATGATCAACATATTGCTTCTCTTACTCCTCAAGACAATCTATTGTTTACTTGGCCTTCTCACCTAGGGTTGTCAAAATAGGTTATAATTTATGTTAGGTCAACAAACTAATGTGCAAATCTTGGCTTGATTAAAAAAAAAAATTAATATATCCATATCAAAATAATTCATTAAAAAATGTTTAAATAAAAAATAAATAAAAAAAATGTATTTTTAAAATTTAAATTATATTAATGAAATTAGTTTTTATTTTAGATATTGTTGGAAGTCCTACATCGTCCGCCTCATGTCATTTGGTATGGTCTAAATACATGTTAGGCTACTCCACATATAACCAATTGGTTTTATGTTGGAACTTTAACATGGTATCAGAGCCAAAGTCTAATATATTTCCGGCTATTGTCTTGGGCCAAGAGTTGCCCTTTCGTTGTGGGTCAAAAGTACCCTTTGCCTAGTCCGGCAGGCTTTGTTGGAGGAGGTGTGTTGGAAGTCCCACATCGCCTTGTTTCATGTCATTTGATATGGTTTAAATACATGTTAGGTTACTCCACATATAACCAATTGATTTTATGTTGGAATCTTAACGAGATATAATGATTTAATATATAAATTACAAGAGAACAGATTCATTCTTTTAAAAAAGAGAGTTAAAAACAGTATAAAATAATAATTCATATTAACCATTAGATTTTGAAATAAGTGGATGTTAGAGATTTACTCTTATTATAAGTGAATTTATTATCAAATTAATTTATAATACTTATATATTTTATAATAAAATAATATTACTTTTATAAAACGAGTTAGTTCATAAGCATACAAGCTAGTTTGGCTTCAGCCCATATAGGTCATAGCCATAGCCCATGTAGGCCATATGACGTAAATGGAAAGGCCAAAATAGACCTAGTTCAATTTAAGCTACAAATATTTTTGTTTAGCCTAACCTATTTCTAGGGGTTTGTTCGGATCAGCTCATCAGACTAAGCATTTTGATACCCCTATTCTCACCTACTGCAGGAGTGAAGTTACCGAGGTTGGTAGGGCATATTCAGTTTGCAAATGTATCATTTCATTATCCTGCAAGGAGTATGGTATGTGTCTATTTTTGTTATATTGAGTTTCTTTTGTTCTATTTGTTATAAGAAACATGTTTAGCTTTAGTCACTTCAGGTTGAAAATTAAAATACATATTATTGTTTGCAATTTCTAGGACATTTGATGTTACTCTAATTGCAAACTAGTTATATGTGCATTTAATTACATTTCGAAGCAATGAATAAGAAAGTTCATTGCATTTGACCATTTAAAAGCTACAGTTGATGATTATTGTTAGCTTATTCGACAAACTCCTTTTGGCTTCTCAATGTCATTCACGTAGTTGCCATGAGCTTGAGCACTGTCCAAATGATTCCATTATGAGTTCACTACTAATGATTTCATGCTTTTTGCATGATAGGCCCTTTATGTGGTGGGCAATAGGTATGGTAGTGGCAAGGAGGTGAAGTAAGGTAGTCAAAATCGAGATCTTATTCACGATTTAAAAGGGAAGTATAGATTGTAAATTGGGATATCGTAACAAGAATAGTAAGATCCTCCAACATTTATGAAATTCATATATATGTCAAATATTTAAACTTGAATTCAACGTGATAAGCAATAAACAATATAATAAGCCAATACCTCCATCCTAGTTACGAAACCATAAATCCTTCTTTGGTATGAAACATTAAGCCAAGAATTTATACAAGGAGAAAAACAACTAATAAAAGAAAGCAACTATCAAGTGGTGGTATTGTTATTGGATCTTCCCAAGTTTCCAATAAAGGAACAAGTGCAACTGACCTTAATTCAAAGAAAGGGCAAAGAGAATATTCAATTTGGGGATGAAAATGAATTTGAATTTCATAGTTTTAACTCTGATATTGAAGATATTGAGGAATTATTTACATGTAACAAATTTTTCTTTGAAGGGGAGGAGGAAGAGGGATATGTTTCATTGGATAACATTTGAAAGTGTGGGGATTGAGAACGAGCCTAATAATTAAAAATTTAGGACATTTATATTATGTTTTGTTGTTATTTTAAGTTTAAACTTGAACCTAAACTTGTAAATTTGGTATATCATTAACTATAATGATTGTCTTTCATTATGTTTTTGTATTTTAATTATATTCGTGCATTTTATTTATATGTATATAGTATATTTTTTGGTCCACAATACTTCCTCCATAACCCGTTACGGAATATGATATATTTTCATAATGGAATTTTGGGTTGTTGATATTTTCCGATGTCCAATATTGATGACACTTTTCTTCACTCAATTCAGTTTGTTCTTCCCTTATTTCTCAATTTTATTTTATTTTACTTAATTCAACAATAGACTCATTTATAGACTTTACGATTTAAAACACTATTTCAAATCATTTCAAAAAAACGTATAATTTATAGCAAAAGGATTGAAGATATGGATTAGTGATGGAGTCAACCTCCATTACCTCAAAACGGCTCCATGTCACCGTAAGTAGAAGTGTAGATTATAAAAAATTTAGAAGAAACAATAGAATAAGAAAGGAATTAATAGAATCAAGTGTATACTTGTTTTGCTATGAGTGGAAATGAGAAATAATATTCCTATTTATAGAGGATGGTTTTAGGACATGTCTTGAAATACAATTTTACTTGTCTCTTAATTATGCCAAGTGCATGTATGTGATTGGAGAATAAACAAAATATCTAAATGAGAGTAGACGTAGGTGATGATGGAGGAAGAGACGAGATAAGGTTATGTTAATTATCTTATCCAATTGGATAGTATCAAAAGGTAACAACCCCTTTTCGTCCTCTTCGGCCATGGTTTTGGAGGCCATGGGCTTAGGCTCAATTGCCTTGACTTAATGAGCTTGGTTCATGTCCTTTTGCTAGATGATATCCAATTTTACTAATTGTACCTACCAACTAGGTCTAATTATTTGACATAAATTTCTTTAATTATTTATTCCAACATGGACTAACGTTTGATGTCAATCATCCACCCCAAATTCCTACAAAAAACCAACCATTATTTACTGAAAGTGTGTCTATTCCACAAACACAACTTTATTTATAACATAAGAAATAAAAATAGTTAAGGATACAATATTGCACACTCATTTCAAGTCATACATGACAATAAACCAACCGTGAATAGCTGTAAATTAGTCATATATTAGGCAGAGTTTACTTGTATAACTATAGGAAAGGTTTCTTTGTATAGCATCAAAGATTCTTATTACATGGCATGCTCTCAATGATGAAACACTTTCAGTCAAATTTGATATCTACGGACCGTAATTGTTGGGGAAGTTGCCTAATTCATGATATTCAACTTCGATGCTAGATCTTGCAACAATATTCCACTTCTTGCTCCTCCACGAGATCAATACCTATAGGTAGATCTCCTATATGGTCATCTTGCCCAATCAGTAGCATAACAAAGAATAATTTTGACATTGATTTTGTAATCATATAATAATCTATGGTTTGATGCATTCTTGATATATCTAAGGAGTCACACAACAGTGTCCCAATGGTTGTCCTCGAGAGCTTTTAGGAATTGATCTACACGCTCACGGTTAACATGATGTTTGGCTTGGTGACAATAAGGTAATTCAGTCCACTGATAAGTCATTAGTATCTTCGCAGGTCTTTTAGTGGCTTCCCCTAGCCTGAAAGAAGCTTGAAATTGGGGTCCATAGGAGTGCTATTGGCGATGACAGTCAAGCATGTTAGTTTCGGTGAGAATATCAAGGACATATTTCCGTTAACCACCTCAATGTCTAAGAAATATTTGAGTGGGCCTAGATCTTTCCTTTGGAATTTGTTGTGAAATTGAGCTTTTAAGTTGGCGAATACCATCAAAGCCATCACTAGAGATGACAATGTCATCCAAATAAACTATCAAATAGATGCACAATCCAGAAGAAGAGTGGAGAGAGAAAACAGTGATCAGCATCATAGAGAGTCATACCAAACTAGAGGAGGGGGGAGCTAAAGCAACCAAACCAGACATTGGGTGACTGCTTCAGGCTGTACAAAGAATGTTAAAGGTGACAAACTAGACATAAATCACCAGAAAGAGTAAAACCAAGGGGTTTGATTATATGCATGTAAATTCTTGCAACCTACGGTGCAAGAAGACATTTTTAATATTCAATTGATGAAGCAACCAATGGAAAAAAACAGAGGAAATATTGTGGCTGAAACAGTGTGTTTGAATACACAATAGATGCGAGTTTATATAGGCTTAGTACATTAATTACAGATAGATAGAGGAAATTTGTTTTCTTTAAAGCTGCTATTATTATTATTACATTACAGTAAATACAGAATACTATATTCTGATTTTCATCAGTATGTACTGTACTTCTCACAACAAATTTTTGTAATCCAGTTACTGACATTGTAATTTGTAATATTACATCCTTATAAACCTTCTCAATATGATTTCTTACTTTGCATACCTTTTACTACTAAATTCTGAGGCATGGGCGTATCTCTTGCTGATTAAATGTTAAATGTCATTTCTTTCCTACATTTGAACAGATGCCTGTTCTAGAACACTTGGACTTCTCCATAAAAGAAAATCAAGTCATTGCCATTGTAAGATTTCTCTTAATTCCTTGTGATTTAATATTGGTGATGCTAAAAGAATAACTTGACACCTCTACCTTGTCAAGGTTGGTCTGAGTGGTAGTGGAAAGAGCACATTACTCAACCTTTTACTTCGTCTATATGAGCCTAGTAGTGGTCAGGTAAACAATTTATATCTTTTAAACCTAGTAAATTGGCAATTAAATTTATATATAAAATAAAACAAATATCTGCGTGCTCATGCTCATCATCCACTACTTGATTAATTGTTTGTTTGAATCATGTTTAAGATGCTTCCATACCTATAAATGTTTATGCACTTTTTTGTAGTAACAAAGAGCAACATATTCTACGAGATTCTTTCCTACTTTATTGGCACAAGTTATCAGCTACTTGCATTCTAATTTAAATCCAGTGAGTCACGTTCTCGTTAAATATTTGCTCCTGAATTGGAAGACCCTTGGCTTTAATATTCTGCACCATTTAGATAATGACTACTACGGACTAGAAATGAGACACTTTCAGACATATGAACTCAAGTTAGCGACAGTTAACTACTGAAAATTATGTTAATAGACTCAATAAAGACGTGCATTCTATGGTATGCTTAGCGCTTCTAAAGCTCACAATTATGAGAAATAGTTCTCAGTCAAACTATGAATGTGACATATTTCACTTGTTATTTATTGTTGATATTTCATTTGTTCTTGGCATATTGGATCTCTCTACATATGTGAGTGAGAAACATGGTGCATTGTTTTTCTTTAAAATAAGTACTTGGACAGGAGGAGTGAAGATACAAGTTGCAGACTGTTGGGAGGCAACACATTGGCATAATAAATCCTTTCCCATTAAATAAATCTAAAAAGTGTTTACGTTTTTAATTGGCATAAAACCTTGGCATCTTGATCTTGACATATTACTGATTTGAAATATCAATATCAACAATGTTAATATACACGAAGTTTTCATGATCATTTCTTACGTAATATACATCTACATTTATATACAGATATATATTGATGGGTTCCCTCTTAAAGAGTTGGATATCCGGTGGCTGCGGCAGCACATTGGATATGTTGCACAGGTTAGACAAATAAAACGGTACTTCACACATAGTTTAAAACTCAACTTCTGAAATTTTATGTTTCACACAGGAATCCCATCTCTTTCACATGGACATCAAGTCAAACATAAAGTATGGTTGCCCCAGGGACATACAACAAGAAGATATTGAACGGGCAGCGAAAAAGGCCTATGCCCATGATTTCATTTCTTCTCTTCCTAATGGATATGAAACAATTGTTGATAACAATGCACTTAGTGGTGGACAGAAGCAGCGAATTGCCATTGCCAGAGCCATTCTTAGGGACCCTGTTATAATGATACTTGATGAAGCAACCAGTGCTCTAGATGCTGAGAGTGAGCATTATATCAAAGTATGTTTCACAAATTCTAGTTTTTGAAAGTTAAATATCTGATTTCTTTAATTATCTATACGAGTCTGCAGCAGTTTACGTGTTACGTAATTCTTATTTCAGGAGGTGCTGTATGCCTTAAAAGATGAATCTAAAACAAGAACCATCATTATTATAGCTCATAGGTGAATTCTTAACCGCATTGCTTTTTTCTTTCTTTCTTTCTTTAATATATAAGATTAGTTGCGTTATAATCACTGAATTTCACAGGCTTTCTACTATCAAAGCTGCTGATAAGATATTTGTTATGGACGATGGTCGCATCATTGAGGTGATTTCTAGTTGAACTTAGTTACTATATCTAGTATTTTAGTATTTTATGAAATTGATTTTGTAGTCAAGTGATAAGCTTGGACTTATAGTTTTAATGCAAACGCCATCTAAAGACGCTTTAACTCAATGAATTTTTGGACTCAAACAATTTGTTATGAGACCAAACATATAAAATTTTCAACTTGCAGGTAGGCTGTTAGGGACTCCCTTATTATCCTCAGAAAACTAATCTGAAATCTTAACACCCTCACACACGCCTTCCAAGAGTAATTACCCAGATACCGAAAATACCTTGTAATATTTCACTAGATTTCTTGAAAGTACAACAATATCAGGGTAAAGAAAAGTACCCCAAAGTGAGAACTCTCTTTTTCACACTCCAGGGCTACTTTTTTAGGATAAAATATGTTTTCAATACAATAATTTTGACAAATATTCATGTTTAGTATAATTAAAATATTTTATCTGATATTTTTATATAAGATCTGAAAAGTTTTTATGTCATGGACAATTAAGTGATTTGAATATTGATTTGTATGGTTTTAATTACTGAAAAGTTTGATTTCATGAAAGATCGTAATTAATCATAGATTTGTATGATCTTGATTAATTTCATATATAATGTGAAATGAAACTTAAATCCACACTTATCAACATACACATCATTTTCTGATCCGTATTACATAAAATTGATGACTTTTCTAATGACGTTGATTACAAATTTAATAAAATAATTATAAATATATGAAAATAAAATAAAATATTTTAATTATATTAAATACAATATTTAACATAATTATGTTTTATTAGTTAAAAAAGTCTCGTTCATATCCAGTAGAGGACTTATTTCTTCTGTCCAGACACACTTAAAGAAATAACAACTGTGAACACACACTAATTACAATTTTAACTCTCTTTTTCTTTTCTTTTTTTCTTTCTTTTCTAAAATACACCCGGAAATGTCTTTCCCATTCTCTATTTCATTAGATCTAAAATAGGCCAATGCAAAATCAATTGATTTATTGGCTGATTTCCATTTTTCAGGTGGGAGATCACGAAGAGCTTATGATCAAGGATGGGCTCTATGCAAAATTAAATAAAATCCAAGCAGATATTTTGACTTGATTCAAGTTAGGCTTGGACTTGAGTGATGATGAAGAAGACGATGCAAGTTAAAGTTAACAAGCCTGAGGTGGAACACTTAAGAATGTTGAAGAATACACAAACACAAGGATTGACTTCTTGGAATCCATCACTGCACCAGCCCAAAAATTATGATATACCCGTGAAGTATTTCAGTAAATTTAAAGGTCCTCCTACTGGTTTTCTCTGCTCAATCAGTGAACTCGTACAATGAATTCTAATTCCATTAATTATTGATAAAAATAGAATGTGATAGAGAGAGTAGATGTGAGACAGTTACAAAAGAGGGGCACATTTTATACAAAATGTTTTTTAAATAATCAAATATGATTACATTGACAAGGATTGGTCTATGGGGAATTAAATAATATAATTTGCATGATGTTTAAGGTTTAAATGTTGTTGTTTGCTATAAAAAGGTAATTACATTTTTAATCTCTGAAATTTAAGGTAATTTTGATTTGGTCTTGTAAATAAATAAATAAAAGTTCCTTAAATTTGTTTTCTTCAACCCTAAACATTAAAGAAGCTCTGAACCTATTTTTGTTCTATTAAATTTAGTGTTTAATGATTAAAATCATATTTTATTAAATTTGAAAGATGATAATGATTTTGCTCAATAAAAATTCAACATTTTGTTTGCCAAAAACTAATCTTATTTTGATAATTAAATTCATCCCTCCCTTTTGAATTTAATTATTTTTCTTAATCTTTTAGTGAAGAAACACAATGTTGACAAATTTAGTCAAAATATCAACTTAACAACACTAGCTAGCCAATACAAGATGAGTCTAAGACTCCTCATAAGGATGGAGAGACACTTCCTAAAAAAATTATGAACATAATTAGAAGGGAGGTCTCATCTTTACTCATTTTTTTAATTTATATAACTTTTTTTTTTCTTCTTAATTTTCTAGACTCGTCATGATATCTTTTATTTTGTAAGATTACTTAAGGACACCCCTATTTTGATGTTGATCACCCTTATTGGAGGATGAGAGCCTTAGATCTTCGCCTTTTGGGACAACCCATGAAGACCTTTAGGGTGATTTAGGCAACTTTAGCTTCTAGAATCTTGAAATGTATTTCCCTCTAGGTCCCTCACCCATGCCTATATAAAGGAGTTTCCCCCTCTTGTAAAAGGATTGAATATTTATGAGAATTTGAAAGTGTTTTTTTTTTTTAAATGTTCCTTCTTTCTTAGTTTTATCTTGAACCTTGGTAACACTCACTCATCTTGGGTTAGTCCTGCTAGAAATGTAGGCTAAGATCAAGAGGGGGGGTGAATTGATCTTTGAAAGATTTTCGTAATTAACAGATTATCTATTTCAAAGATTAAGAAATCTGACCAGTTCTTGAATCACACAGCAATCAATCAAAAATAAATGCAGTCACAGAATTAAAGAAGAGAAAGGTTTAGAAAGATATCACGAAGGTTTATACTGGTTCACCCAATCCCAGGGCTACGTCCAGTCTCCAGCCAAATTCCAGCTGGGTTCCACTAGATTGAATGTTTTCCAGATTACAACCTTAATCACACACTCAATCTACCACAAGAACCACAATTCCAGTTCCTGCACCTAACCTTTCACCAAGAACCAAATTCCAGTTCTTGAACTACCCTGCAGCCAAATTCCAGCTACAGAAACCAGTGCCCACAATTCCAGGCACCCACAATACAATAAAAGAAAGTAAAGAAACAAATAGAAGAAACTAAAACGCTCAAACCAGTTTTATGCAGTTCTGCAATATGTGTTTCTTCTCCAAAAGAATGCAATTTTGCCTCAAGAAAGAACTTTGATGAACTTCAAAAAAACTAGCGTGATTCTTTCTTGAAAGTAGCACTTTTGATTGCTTGATTGAGTGCCAAAAGATGTATTTCAGATTGTATTTAAAAAATTCAAGCAACTCTGTTTATATAGAAGATTTTCAAAAACTGCTGGTTTAATTAATCTGTTAAAATAATCTTTTAATCTATTAAAAGTCTTGTTTTAATCTGTTAAATCTTCTTTTAATCCATTAAAACGTTCTTGATTATTTTCTAGATTTGTTTTAATTGATACGACAACGTTTATATCAATTAAAACTCTTTACAAAAAATCTTCCAAACTGTTTTAATCGATTGTTTTGTGTTTCAATCGATTAAAATACTACAAAACATTTTTATAAACTTTTCCAAGTGATTTTAACTGATAAAAATATGTTTTAATCGATTAAAACGCTTAGTACAAATTTTCTTAAGTTGATTTAATCGATTGAAACACATTTTAATCTATTGAAAATATTCTGATCGATCACAATCACACTCTGATTGATCATATGCTGGTTCTGATCGATCATAAAATCATTCTGATCGGTCATCTGCTACTCCAAGTGGTTTTAATCGATTGAAACGAAGTTGTATCGATTAAAATATTGCCAGAACACTTCTCTGAACATTTTAAGTGATTTTAATCGGTTATTTCGAAACTGTATCAGTTAAAATACTGACTGAAGGTTTTTAAAACTTCCTTTAATGAAAACAATCAGTTATTTCGAAGTTATATTAGTTAAAAACCTGTTATAAAAGTGTGAAAAACAATTTAGTTGATAAAACTTATATGCTATTAGTTAAAATAGTTGATTAAGAAAGTTTTTATCAAAATACTTTGTTTTTCACCATTGAAACATTTTTAGAGGCATTTTTACAAAATCTTTTAAGTGAAGAAACCTCATGCAGCAAAAAAGATAAAAACGATTATACCTAAGCAGAGCTGCAGAGACACTAATCCCTCTACTCTTTTATCCAAGTGACATTTGACTTCCACAAAGTAGCCTTTGACTTCATTCTTGACTTCATCAAATCAACAAGATTTTTGCCAAAGTAATTCAATAAGATCTTCATTACTTTCAAGTCCATCCCCCAAGTGGTGTTCTTTTCAAGTTCTTTTATATCATCTTTGTATGTTTAAATGTTACTTGTTATTTTTCCTTATTCTACAATTCTTGTTCAAATTGAATTCTCATCTCCTCTCTTTAACTCTTGGGATGTGAACCTTCACACTTAGATAATCCAAGTGGTTATTGTTGTATCTAGTGGGAACCTTCTTTGAGTTTTCTTACACACATAAACACAAACACCTTACTTGTAATTGCTAAAACGAACTATTATTACAAACAAGATATAACCAATTTTAGAATGAAATGAAGTAGTCTAACCAAACCTTTCCCACTCAAAAAGATATTTTCCCTTTGACAAATTTGAAGAACTAGCTTTTTGTTAAACTCACTTACAAAATTTTGAACACATGTTTTGCACAAAGTAATATTCTATGATTATGTATGTTTCTACATGTTATTAAAATAACTTTGAAACCACTGTTTTTATACAGTAGTTTGTTCGAACAAAATAATTGTAAACTAAAAATTAATTATGTTAACTAACATAACTAGACTTTATGAAATGCATTTATTAATTGCTTTCTTGCATCTTAGTTTATTCATTAGAAAATATACTTTGAGATGAGAGAGAGAAAGAGAGATTATTTACATTGAAGACATTATGCAACTTCTCATATTTATTGGCATCATAAAATCCATAACCATGAGATGACTCAAGTGAAAACATTAAACTATAGTGTTTGAAAGTGATGAAGATCTTATTGAATTACATTGGAAAAGATCTTGTTGATTTGATGAAGTCAAGAATGAAGTCAAAGGCAACTTTGTGGCAGTCAAAAGGTCACTTGGATTAAAGAGTAGTAGGATTAGTGTGTCTGCAGCTCTGCTTAGGTATAATCATTTTTATCTTTTCTGCTGCATGAAGTTTCTTCACTTAAAAATTTTGCAAAATGCCTCTAAAAGTGTTTAAACGGTCAAAACCAAAGTATTTTGATAAAAACTTTCTTAATCAACTATTTTAACTAATAGAATATAAGCTTTATCAACTAAAATGTTCTTCACACTTTTATAACAGGGTTTCAACTGATATAACTTCGAAATAACCTATTGTTTTCATTAAAAAGAAGTTTTGAAAACCTTCGATCAGTATTTTAACCGATACTGAGTTTCGAAATAACCGATTAAAATCACTTAAAATGTTCGGAGAAGTGTTACGGCAGTATTTTAATCGATACAACTTCGAAATAATCGATTAAAACCACTTGAGATACTTGTTTGACCGATCAGAATGGGTTTATGACCGATCAGAACCAAATTTGATCGATCAGAATTGAAGTATGACCGATCAGAACCAGTTATGATCGATCAGAATTGGGTTATGACCGATTAGAACTATTTCAATCGATTAAACAGCGTTTCAATCGATTAAATCAACTTAAGAAAAATTCTGCTTAACGTTTTAATCGATTAAAACGATTTTTTATCAGTTAAAATTACTTGGAAAAGTTTACAAGAAAGTTTTGCAGTATTTTAATCGATTGAAACACGAAACAATCGATTAAAACAAATTAGAAGATTTTTTACAAAGAGTTTTAATTGATATAAGCGTTGTCGTATCGGTTAAAACAAATCTAGAAAATAATCAAGAACGTTTTAATGGATTAAAAGAAGTTTTAACAGATTAAAACAAGACTTTTAACAGATTAAAAGATTATTTTAATAGATTAATTAAACCAGTAGTTTTGAAATCTTCTATAAAAACAGAGTTGCTTGAACTTTTTAAACACACATCTGAAATACATCTTTTAGCAATCAATCAAGCAATCAAAAGTGCTACTTTCAAGAAAGAATCACGCTAGTTTTTGTGAAGTTCATCAAAGTTCTTTCTTGAGGCAAATTGCATTCTTTTGGAGAAGAAACACATATTGCGAAGCTGCATAAAGCTGGTTTGAGCGTTTTAGTTTCTTCGTTTGTTTCTTTACTTTCTTTGACTCGTATTGTTGGTGCCTGGAATTGTGAGCACTTGGTTTACGTAGTTGGAATTTGGTCAGAGGTAATTCAAGAACTGGAATTTGGTTCTTGGTGAAAGGTTAGGTGCGAGG